GTCCCTGAGCGATGATCTAAAGACAAAGAAAGGGACTTCCCTGGCAGTCCAGTGGCTAAGACTCCACTCCCAATGCAGGGGTTTCGGGTTCCATCTCTGGTCAGGGAACTAGATCCCACATGCCACAATTAAGAATATACATGCCCAAACTAAGACTCAGTGCAGCCAAATAAATAAAAATAAATATATCTATGTATATAAAATATTTTAAAAATACAAAGAGAGCTGAATAAATTTATAAACATCCTCTTAAGTAAAAGAGACTTGAAAATAATTAGAAATCTTTAGGTGCCTTTGAGCAACAGGCAAAGGTTTACAATCCAATGTGTTAAAACCTTTACAGTAAATTCATAATTTTTCTTTTAATAACCTGCCTTCTTATCCTCTCTCCCACCTCTCTAAAGCTTAAAAACGAACTTGTAACAACCTGACCACATCCTTTCTATTTTAAATATTTTCCAATGTTTAATTGTTTGCCAATTCCATTTGAAGAAGTATAGAGTCATACCAAAATCCCACTCCCTGAAGTCTAATGGCTCAAAATCTCCCAGGTAACCAAAATCCCCAGAGAGCTTCACCCAATGTAACAGCTATGTACAAAAAGAAATATTTTTTTCAATTACAAAACATTCCAGTTAGAAAACAAAGTCTATTTACAGAAATAAAAGTACTCTCCCATAAGAAAGCCATACCATTTACTGATTACATGTTTCTTTCATTCTCACATAAATTATTCTGAAGCACTGGGTAACAGTCAAATAATTCCAGAAACAAAAGTTTTAAGAATTTATGAGAGAAAAGCTTCAATAAAAAGTACTTAGCATTTACAGTGTCTGCCTTATGTCTTCTGCTTTCTGGATGTATTCCTTTATTTAATGTGAACATGACACGAAGTCATAAAAAAAAGGCTGATGAAGTTTGGACAATTCAGCTTTTCTACAGACTTCACAGAGTCAAAAGACAGCAGCTTCTACATCATCATTCTATAGTAAAGACCAGTCTAGTTACCACTGTGAAAGCAAAAGTACCCTAGAGAAGGAGCAAGATTATAGGTAAGAAAAGCACTTTTAAAGAGAAAAATCAGAGTTTACAGAAAAATAAATAGCAAAGATGGAATTCACTTTAATACGTTTTCTCATTTTGCATCTCTCTAGTTACATCGCTCAAAAATTTAACAAATTTTAAGTTAAATATCTGATAGTGCAAAAGCTAAGAAATCTAAAGAGCCACTAAAAAAAGGAAGGGAGGGAGGAAGAAAGAAAGGAGAAAAAAGTATAGATCAATAATAACTAAGTGATAAATTACTTTCTTTGCTAATGATGCTATGAATCTTAGGGTAGCAAATTCAGCTTAGTTTTTGGCCAACTGTCTGTAGTCACAGAAAAACAGAATTATTCAGCAGAATCATTTCACAAAATAAAATCTGTGAACTTTGTGGACTATGCCCTATGCATCCCTACCACAGGACTTAGTTCTCAACTTTCTATGGCCTTGCAGTAAAAAACACAGGCCTTCGTGAGAACTAACAGGAATTCAGTTACAACCTCTAACTCCTCTCCTTTAGCAACAGAAATAAGAAAGGGTACAAGAATATACTAAAAGGCATTTGGGAAGGATAAGTAAATTGCTCAAGTTCTTGCTTTAGTGGGAAACATAAAAAGCCCAACTTCCTAGGTCTAACACAAAAAGCAAAAACCAAACAAAAATTAAAAATCACCTGACATAATTTTTAGTTATCGTTTGTTTTTGCTTTCACTGCTAGAGTTTTAATGATCTGACAAACCAGGGGAATATCTTGCATATATAAATCAAGTTAATTGCTGTCATTTAAAAGGTTGTTAAAGCTTTATGCCCACATTCATTAATTCAATGAACTTAAAAAAAATCAATTTTCACTTAATTTTCTCAGCAAATTCTAGGCTTTAAGGAACTGATTCATCTACTGACACTTAAACCTGACTTGTGGGAAAAGTTCATGATTCATCCTTTAAACCTACTGTCTGCAAATATACCTGCATTCCAAAAAATGGGAAGTAGCAGATTGATACAGAGCCCATGTCCACAAGGACTCCCAGAACCACAGATCCAAATAAATATGCACAGTATTGCCTCAACGAAGTGACCTTCTGACTAAGAGGTCTCCCAGGTCAGAAATTTTAGTCATTTTAAATAGCATAAAAATGCAAAAATTGTTATAAAAAGCATGAGGATCATGGAGAAAATGACCATGACCATAACTCCAGTTAACAGATGTGTTGTTCTTCAGTTTACTAATACTGCCCCCATTCACCCAGTTAAAAGGGTTGTGTTGTTAATAAAGCAAAACTCACCAGTGGTGACAGAAGTCAGTACAGTGTCACCGTGGGGGAGGGAAGGTGTTAACTGAAAAGAAGAAATGTAGAAAGAGCCGTTGGGAAGCTGGAAATGCTCTGTATCTTGATCTGAGTGTAGCTACCAGTGCATATACATATGCAAAAGTCACTGAACTCTATGTACATAAATTAAGATCTTATTGTAAATTAGGCCTCAATAAATAAATAAATATATATACATAATTTCAAAACATATTAAAATGCATTTGTAACTATCTTTCCAGACAATGCTACATAAAATCATCCAAGATACAACTCTCAAGGTATTTTTTTCTAAATGTATTTTAATAAAGATGCAGGTTGTGAGTACTTCCTTGTAGAACCTTTCAAAGTACAAACCTAAATTTTTTAATCTTTCACTTTAGAAAGTCATCGAATTTCAGAACTGAAAGGACACACAATGATCATCTATTCATCCAATAATTTTGCAAAGAAAGAAAAACAAATCTGTAAAGAAACTTACCCAAGATAAGGCAGTAGTCAATGACAACAGTAGTAACAGAACTGTTTCCTGATCTGGGGCCACTCCCGTTTCCAAGCCGTTACTTTTCTAACATTGTAAACAAATCTGAACTCCAAATCTACCTGTGGCCTAGAAAGCTTCTACATACCTTAAAATACCAGGCCGACAGGCTCCAAAGTGTACTCAAAGAGTACACTCATCTTCCTTCCTCATCTCAAGACGGTCGACAAACGAACAAGTACGTTTTCAGGCATTTTACTTGCGATGCAATCAAGTGTGACATCTTAAAAATGTGGTTCCAGAGAAGAAGGCATTACAGGGATTGATAAAATCCATCTTATTACCTTTCCAATCTTTTTGATGGTTTCTTGGTTCTCAGGACTAAGTAGGCTCACGAAACCTCGCTCGGGGCAGCCCACCCGCACGGCTTTGAGAGACCCGCTGAGAATATCCCCCACTAAATAAAAAGCCTGTCCTTGGCAAGGGTGTCCTGCCTCACTGCTGGTGTATAACAAGACGTGCAAGTGACCTGTCCTTTACGGCTCAGTTTTAGACCCCAGTGAGCAGCTGACATTTTGTGAAAAACTTAACATACATCCTTTCCGCGGGAATGTATCTCCGTTCTCACAAGGCGTTTCTGCTCCCCACAAAGCAGGCCTGCCTTCTCAGGACATTCGGCTCGCCTCTCCATAGTCTCCTTTTCAGGATCCAAAACGAGACTTTAAGAACAGAAATCGAAACGGTCACGGACCTCTGGAGCGGCAGGTCCGCCTGGGGTCGGGCAGCGGGTTCCCGGCGAGCCCACGGCCCGCTCGATCGGCGCTGGGGAGGCCCGGCGCACTCCGATACGCTGGTCCGAAGCAACCGGTTGTGGCGGCCGCTAGACGCTCAGCCATCGCGCCGCGGCCGCTTCGGCCCAGTGAAGTTCAGATCTCCGCGCGGGCGGCGCGCCCCCGGGTCCTGCTGCGGGTTCGCGCCCCGGGCCCGGAGCGAGCCCGGGGGGCGGGTCCGCGGGGGCTCGGCGGGAGGGAGCGCGGGACGCGCGGGGAGGGGCGCGCCAGGGGCCCAGCGCGCCGGGGAACTTGGGCGCCTGCGGTACTGCCGCCCGGCCACTTTCCTTTCACGCCCTGGGGTTGCCGCGCGCCACACGAGTCAGCCCAGGACTGCCTGCCTCGAGGGGGCCGCCGCGCGGTCCACCGCCCCGGCGCTGCCGCCGCCCCTTCAGGCCGCCGCGCGGGAAGGCCCAGCCGGCGGCCCCGCTTTTTTACCTGCCGGGAGTTTTCGCGCGCGCGCTCGCTCAATCGCTCGCTTTTCCCTTCTCGCGCTCGTTTTCTTTCTTTCTTTTCTTCTTTTCGTCCCCCCGCGCGGAAGCTTTTTCCGCTCGCGCCGCCCGCGCTCGCCCGCTCGCGCTCTCCTTCCTGCTGGGCTCCGCGGAGCGGGGCGGCCGGCAGCTCTCCCCGCCCCCCTCCACCCGCGCTCCGGCGGAGGCGGCGGCGGCGGCGCTCCGCGCTCCGACTCATTCCAATATGGCACGGGCGCAGGGCGCATGCGCCCGCGCCCCCCCCACCCCATTCCGCGCTCCTCCCGGCAGCCCGCGCCCCTCGCGCGGCGCGCGTGGCGCCCCCCTGCCGGGCCTCTCCGAGCAGGCTCGCTCATCTTCCGGCCCTGCTGGGTCAGTACGGGAGACGAGGCGGCCGCGGACGGGGGTCCTCGGGGACCCGCGCCGGCAGCCGCCCCGGCCCCTCGTGCCCCCAGCCCACAACTTAACAGCTGACACCTCGAGGCCGTGGCGCAGAGCTAACGGCTGCGCCTCCGGCCCCCGACGGCGTTGCAGCCTGACGCGGACTGGCCCCGACGGGAAGACGCGCCCCAGGGACCCAGCGCCCACCGTGTCCCTGCTCCGACCCACGAGAGAAGGGCCCCTGCGCCTCACCTCGGGTTGAGGACGGAGTCCAGGGAACTTGGTGGCGTCCTGGTGTCGTTTTTGGCGTCCGAGGTGAAGCGCGATGCTGTCGTCCGCATGTGACAGCCTCCGGCAAGATGGCATTAGCGGAGGAACTGACGGAGCGACAACTGGATGCTAGATCGGCGCGTGTTGCCGCGGGAGAGGGCTGCGTCGGTCCATCAGGCCCACGTCGAGGACCTGGGGCGCGTCCCTTCAGATCTGGAAAGCACCCAAGTGCCCCCTGTCTGCGAAGTCAGATCCTGGGCCCCCGGCGCACCGGGTGTCTCCGGGCTTCCGCAGGAGGCACCCTGTAAATCCTAGTTTTCCTGTCGCACGGGGCCCCAGCGAGGGGGCACAAGACGGCTGCCGAATTCCGGCGGGAGAGCAGGGGGACCCGGGCTGGGACCGAAGGTCGAAGGTGGCTACAAGCCGGCCCCAAAACCCGAGCTGCCCACAGGCGATTGTGTTCCCCGACCTCGCCCTTTCCCCCAGCGAGGGCAGGTGCCAGTGAGACACCAGGATTCCCACCTGCTTTGTAGAGTTCCCTGCAGAAGGGAGTCCTTGCACCACGGAAACCGTGGAGTGCCCGGATTCCCGGGCCCGGGGAGAAGGTCTCTGACAGAACTCTGATGATTCCTGTCTTTCAGGAAGGAAGAGGCGCCCCCACACCAAGAAGGAGGTCTGGGGTGCCAAATGCGGCTCAAGTCACTTCTCAATGAGCTCAGCCACTACGCTGGGAAATATTACCCTACTTCACAGACAGTGTTGCTCAAAGTCACGCTACTGGCTAGATTTGAATCTAGATTTTTTTTTTTTTCTTAATGCCACTGAAGAGACAATATGACAACCAGGAAGAAACATGCAAAAAGAACGAAGTAGTATCCATAATACTACTACAAAATGCAACTTTTCAAACATGAAACCTTCCGCCTATATGCAAGTCTTTACATAGTTGCAACCACACATCCTCTTTTGTGTTTGCTACCATCACTAACATTTGTTTTGTTCACTTTTTTCATGTGTGCAATTGTCATCATTCATTCACTCTGTCTCCTAATATTGCCTATTTTCGTCCCTGATAATTGTTTGCTAATATATCTCTTAGTTCAGCACTTAGACAAACTCCTGGCAGTTGAATAACCATGTGGAAGGTTAAGGAACAGCAGGATGATCTTAGCCCACAGTGCCACAGAGCTTTCCAAACAGCAGCCCCACTCATTCTGCACCTGCCAGAAACAAGTGTAAAGAGTTCAATACACATTTCTAAGTATTGGATGCCATCTTTTCTCCTCCTTTATTTTAGTAGTGTCTACTGGTAGTTCGAGGTTACTTCAGTATTTCTTAGGTGACTTTAAAATGTTTTTCCATGCATTTACTACCTAAATTTCCCTTTCTGTAAATAATCTGTTCACACTCTTTTGGGGACTTGAACCTCTTCTAATTTTGAATAAGAATTTTTTATGTTGCAGATACTACTCCTCTGTCATCAGTGATCCAAATATTTCCCAGTCCATTATTCTTTTTTGTTTTATTCAATCTGCCATTCTGGTCGTTTTTTATTTTTTTTTTTAATTGCTTCAGTGCTGACAAAGCTTTTTTCCATCCATCTGATAGTCTGCATTCTGCTAGTTTTCTAAAATTTTATTTTTAATTCTTTGGTGGTTATCCATGGCAAGTTTATTTTACTGTGTGGGAGTAAAATATGGATTTTAAGTAACCACCGTCATCACCAGTTCTTAATGCAATCACCATTTACTAAATTCTTCCCTTATCCTTTGCTTAGTAAAATCTACTTTCATGCTAGGCTTTTGATTTTGGGTGGTCTATTTCTGAATTCTCCATTTCCTTTCACAGACTTTGGTTTAAGAAAATACCATGTGGAATTAAATACTGGTTCTTTAAAATAGATTCTCATATCTGGCAGGGCTAGAATCCCCCCTCATAGGGTCTTCTTTCATTCAGACTTATCACTTGATAAACAGAATATAAGTCCATATACATTCTAGGATCATCATACAGGAGTTAAGAGTGCTCACTTTGGAGACAAGATCATCCAGCTTCAACACTCACCAGTCCTGTGACCTTGACAAGTTGCTTATGATTCCCAGGACTTAGGGTCTTGGTCTATAAAATGGGAATAAAAGTAACATCTGCCTCACAAGCTAAATGATGCCTGGCACATAGTATGTGTGTGTATATAACATATAATATGTATGTGTATATAACATATATTCATATATATACTCTGTATATATCAGCTGTTTGTTACTGATATTTCCAAAAAATTGAGATTTTGCATAGTGTTACATTAAACCTATGAATTCATTTAAACAGATCAAATATTCCAGAATATTTCATTTTCCCAACCAGGACATGTGCTATCTTTCCATTTATCCAAATATTTAAAAACTCAGACAGAAGTGAGGGTCCTCATTGATTCCAGCCTCTCTCTCTGCTGCTCACCTTCATGACCCCTGAGGAACAGGAAGAGCAGAGAGCCACAAGGAACAGCATTTAGGAGTCTGACTTGGGACTTCACTGGTGGTTCAGTAGTTAAAAGAGTCCATCTGCCAATGCAAGGAACATAAGTTCCATCCCTGGTCTAGGAAAAGCCCACATGCCACTGAGGCCCCACGCAACAACTACTGAGCCTTCCGCCACTAAAGTCCACAAACAGCGACAAAGACCCAGCGCAGCCAAAAATAAATAAATGAAATTTTAAAAAAGTCTGGCTTGTGCAGGGCCCTGTGTAGGTGTGGGCATGTGTGCACATACAGGAAAACTTTACTCCTTGCAACATCCCCCAGCATAGGTCATGGCATTCTCTTAAGGACAAAGAACAAACTGGGAGCTTCCAGATCACTCAGTGAGAGGCAGAACTAGAACACAAACTAGGTGGGCCAGCTCCTCAACCCGTCTGTCGCTTGGAAATTCGGATGGTAGTTAAAGAGGTAGTGCCAGAGGAGCATGGAGGAAATTGACTTCTGATCATGGCACACCACTACTCAAAAGCTTCCCAGGGCTTCCTATTGCACTTGGAAAAAGTCAAAAGAAAACTTTGACCTCTGAAACTGGCTCTGGTCACCCTACAAGCTCACCAGAACTACTCACCTGTCTTGCTTGCTGCAGTTCACCTGTACCTTTCCATCCCTAAAGTATGCCAAGGCACTTCCCACCTCAGGGCCCTTGCACACCCTGCTCCCACTGCCTGGGACACTCTCCATCCCACCTCATGCACAGCCCCTCACATGGTTGGCACTATCTCACTGTTCCAGTGTTTTTTAAGAAGGTGGTCTCCTTAGAGAAGTCTTCCTTGCCCACTTCACCTAAAAAGGTTCTCTCTCCCCACAACTGGGGGTCAAGTTCAGATTGAGTCATTGCTTATTTATGAGCTGTACTATTTTAAATTTTAATTGAGTTTTATTTATTCATTTTTAGCGATGCCATGTGACTTGCAGGATCCTAGTTCTCCAACCAGCAATTCATCTCAGGTCCCTAGCAGCGGAAGCATGGAGTCCTAACTACTGGACTGCCAGGGAAATTCCCCAATAATACGTCCTTTATGGGACCCTTCATCTCTCTGGGCCTCAATTTCCTCATCTCTATAAAAATGCAAATAAAGACACCTATCTTGCTGGCTTCTAAGAATCCAAGACCATAAGGTTCATAAATACTCTCTGCCAACTATAAGCACAACAGAATTTTGAAAAATAATTGTCATAGTCCAAAGCCACCTCTTCCAGGAGGCCTCCCAAGATCTCTCCACTTCCTTCTCTGTCTACCTAAGGCACTTAGCTTGCTTTTCCCCAGTCACCTACCTTGGGAAAAGCACAGGCTCCCCTGACCCCATTTCCATCCTCAAGTATCACAAGCCCAGGGATCTCTCTCTACCTCCACTACATTCTTTTCCCAATTCATGAAGGAAAACAAATGAATTAGCACAATGTTGTTGATTTTATATTATTGGGCCATTTAGTTTCCCTAAGCCTTTTGCCTCTTCAACTTATTATCTGCTAACAAGAGCTTAAGGGCACAGAATAGGCGAGCAAGGGCACTCAGCAATGCAGGGAAAACAAAGATGGCATTTATCTTTGGGGTGGTGAAATACTAAAAAGTTTAGTTATAGTGATGGTTGCATAATTTCATGATATACTAAAAACTACTGAACTGTAAACTTTACTTAAAAGGGTGAATTTTAGGTATGTGAGTAACGGCAGCGGTAGTTTAGTCACCAAGTCATGTTTGACCCTTGCACCCCCTTGGACTGTAGCCTCCAGGCTCCACTGTCCATGGGATTTCCCAGGCAAGAATACTGGAGTGGGTTGCTATTTCCTTTTCCAGGGGATCTTCCCGACCCAGGGATAGAACTCACATTTCCTGCATTGGCATGTGGATTCTTTACCGACTGAGCCACCAGGGAAGCCCTTGTGAATAACATCTCAATTTAAAAGTTGAATGATAAAAGTTTGCAGTGACTGGTACCAAGGACGAAAAGTGCTTTCCTTGACCTGCACAATGAGGCTTTTTGCAATATTCTTTTCCTGGGGAGTGTCTAATGTGCATACAATAAAATGCACCCATTTAATAAGTGTGTAGTCTCTGAGTATTGACAGAGGTAACCACCACCACAATCAAGATACATAGAGTTCCATCACTCAGAAAGTTCCTTCTGTCCTCTTCCAGTGATTGCCCTGCCCACAGGCAATTACTGATATGATTTCTATCTCCATAGTTAGTGTTGTCTGTTTCTTACAAAATTTCATCATAGAGTAATACCCTTTTGTGTCTGTTTTTGAGATTCATCATGTTGTTACATGTATCAGAAGATTACTCCTTTTTTCCTCTGATGGTCAACTGCTCCTTTTTTTCAGGTTAAACAATATTATTATAATCACACAGAATGCCCAAGGAGTGAAGATTCAGCACCTCTATTCTACTGGTCTTCAAAACATCTTATCTACATCAGTGAAGTTTTGAGCATACACCCTCCATTATGTTTATGTTTAAATCATTATTTTATACACACATAGTAGTCTATCTAGTAAAATATGACATGCATTATAAACATATACAATTCATAAAAATTTTAAAAGGAAGAAGTAATGATAAGATAAATACTACTTTAAAATACTTTTCAGACTTCTGTGGCAGTCAGTGATTAAGACTCGGCACTCCCACTGCAGGGGACACAGATCTGGTCCCTGCTCAGGGAACTAAGACCCCACATGCTGTGCAGCCAAATAAAGAAATCAGCTAATTTAAAAAGCACCATCTATCTTTTTTTTTTAAGTAAAATAAAAATAATTAAAAACATTAAATAATATTCATTTTATCAATGGAGTATCATCACTTAGGTCCTCACAAAATAGTATTAAATTATTATTTTAATGATATTAAAAAATCAGTTCAGTTCAGTCGCTCAGTCATTATTGGGCACCTACCAACCTGGGGAGTTCTTCTTTCAGTATCCTATCATTTTGTCTTTTCATACTGTTCATGGGGTTCTCAAGGCAAGAATACTGAAGTGGTTTGCCATTCCCTTCTCCAGTGGACCACACTCTGTCAGACCTCTGCACCATGACCCTACCGTCATGGGTGGCCCCACACGGCATGGCTTTGTCATTAAGTTAGACAAGACTGTGGTCCTGTGATCAAGTTGGCTAGCTTTCTGTGATTATGGTTTCAGTGTGTCTGCCCTCTGATGCCCTCTCGCAACACCTACCGTCTTACTTGGGTTTCTCTTACCTTGGACGTGGGGTGTCTCTTCACGGCTGCTCCAGCAAAGCGCAGCCACTGCTCCTTACCTTGGACAAGGGATATATCATATTAAGAATAATAGTATTGTTTTAAAAAGGAATGAGATTAAGAATGCTTCTTTTTTTACATTGATGAAGTATAACTAAAGTACGATAAACTACATATTTAATAACTCGATTAGTTTTGACATATGAATATATGTAGAAATCATGACAATAAAAAAAAATATTCATCACCCACAAAAGTTTCTTCACAT